GCCTCTTCGATCGATTATTTGGCAATAAAAAAAAAAAAAAAAAAAAAAAACTGAAAAAAAAAATAAAAATGAAAAAGAGTAATAGAGATTGAAATAGGAGTTTTATATGCCAGTTACTTGAATCCTCGCGATGGATTAACACGTTCAAGGCGAATGACGTGAACGTACGCGTCACGAGGATTTTCTATTCCATATGGCGGATCACGTATACGATCACGTCATGGATTTTCTTTCATGAAAAATATTAAAAAATACGAATGTTATTAATTAATATATTCGAAGATTTTTTTCGAAATATATTTGTATATAAGAATGATGGAAATTCTTGACGTTAAAATAGAAATGAACTCCACATTATTATTAAAAATTATTAATATTATTAGTATGAAGTAATTCTGCAAGGAACAAAATAGTTTGAGATATGAGAAATTATAAATCATCGTTGCTGAAATTTTTGACAATTGCAAAAATAGAGTAAAACATAAGCTTTGACATATTTATTATTATTATATGTTAATTTCGTCAATTTTTTTTTATCCCAATCTTCTCGAGAATCGTTTTAAATTTCATTGTATTTTTTCGCCATTTTACAATTGTTCCTCTTATCGATAAATCGATATCCTCGATATACTTTTTCGAATTTTGTTGCCATATTGAACGTGTTGTTAATAAGATGAATAACTGTATTGTCAACTGTTGTGCGATACCGACCTTTCCCTTGCACGTTTGATGTATATGAAAGCAGACACCTTTTGGAACGAAGTCGATGTACAATATTACGCGAAATTTCCAAGTTTCATCGAGTCTGGACGGTCTGTCAACGTAGCTGGTTACCATTGTAAACCCTACTATTGTAAGCCGGCGCCGAACTTCCGGAAGGATATCTGTATATGTATATAAGGGAGGAGACACAGTCGGTTTCTATGACTTTGACTCGCAGAGTGTCTTCTCTTGCTTTTCTCCGAACCCTTTTGTATCCAAAAATCGTGAGTTTCATTCATTATGGATATTAAAATTTACTCGTATTAAAATTACACGCGTTGAAGAATTTTATTTACGTCATAGATTATCAATTGGTAATTTTATTAACGTTAAAGATGTATTTTAATATCGTTTTTAACGTCATTACACATTAATGAATCTTTGATCGATTCATTAATTCGTTATATAGAATATTAAAATTATCTTTATTAATAAATTTTAATAAATATCTATACAAATATTGATAAAATTAAAAATTTCACGTAGCTATTTCTTTCGATTGATCTTATCTTATATTTTCAAACCTCTCATAATTTTTATCAAAAAAAAAAGCTATGTATCGTTCAATTTCCCCTCTCTCTCTTGGAACCACCAGTAAAAATAAACTCGTTTCCTCCCTCGCATATTGAAAAACCAGATCCCCCTCGATACCCTGTTATATAAATCAATAGTTGACACGTTGTGATAAATAGTAAAGTAATAGAGAGAAAAAGAGGGAGAAAGAGAGAGAGAAGTGACCGTCGCCTAGAGGGGAAATCCACGTATCATGGTCGATGTTTCCTCGTTGATTTACTACTCGTTCGTATCAAGAGGGAGACTATCTCCCTTTCTAACCATCAAAACTCTCCGTACTCGAGGCTGCAAGACTTCCCTCTTCGTTGCCTCCGTTATTGACAGAGCAAATAAGGATCGACAATAATAGGAATCGTTGACACGCCGTCAAACAAATCCTCGGGGAGGTTTGCCGTCACCATAACCAGGATTCATCTCGACGCACGGATTCCACGATTTCCGTGGGACGATATGACGCGCATTGTGGAAACATCGGGATCTCTTTGGGTGGGTATTGCGAGGAATGGAATGGATGGAAAAATATTTGCCTTAAGATCGTTGCTTTTGCGAGTGAGCCGTGAAAGATGGAATAGTGGATGGTAACGAAAAAAAATTCTGTGGAGAGTAAGACGAGAGAGGGAGAGGAGGGGAGAGACTCATTTGTACGATTGCTTCGTGACGATATTTCTCTTATGGGATGGATAATGTTGTTCAATTCGTGATTGACAGATATAAAATCGTCGCCAAGTTATATAATTTGGGATCTATCGATGACTAAGTCAACACGAATTTTTTATTTCCATATATATAGTTTTTCGTTTCCGTTCTTTGTCTTCATTTCCTGTCTGCAAAATTGCATTTGGTCCTGATTGTCAATTAAGGTTCTTTATTTATCTTTGTGAACTTTTTCCACTAACTCCTACACGTCTTCATTTTCTATTTTAGTATTTTCAAGAACTAAACTAACTTTTTAAAAATTGTTTTCCACCAAATAAATAATCGATTACTATTGTTAATATTGGAATTACTACCATTTACTTCACATATGGTGTAAAAGTTAAAAATATTTCGTATTTATAGAATTTTTTTATCCATCCTTCCTTCTACGTGAACAACAACAAATCAAGAAACGTACAGGAAAAAAAAAATATTTTGAACGCGTGATAAACATTTATCATTCGTGAAAATTTCATTTGTTTTTATTATTACTCGCGAATAAACATTGTACATCGAAACGATCGTATGCATAAATTGACCGCTGAATAATTTATCGAATTGATAATTTACCGCAACGTGTACAAAAAAAAAAAAAACAAAAAATCACGCATCAATCATGCGAGAGAGAAATTTATCTACCGATCTACCGATCGTGAAAAAAAAAAGGAAGAAGAAGAAGATGAAGATACGATGATGGCGCGTCCAAGACGCAATTTCAAAGCCTTGGATTCGCTTTACGCTCGGCGAAAAGTGCACAATGATCGCGCGATAAAAATATTTCCACGCCATCGTTGTTGAATCACGATGCATATCTCAATATTTTGCGAAAAGGAAACATCGCGGTGTTTGCAAAGCAATCAAGGAAATAGTGGCGGGAAGAACGAAAAGTAGTGAATAATTCATATCGTTCAAGCGTGCTATCACTATCCACAATGATTCCGTGATTCAACGATAATTTAACTTTAACGTTAAGTCTGACGTTAAATCTGGCTGCGTGGTTGCGTATGGACGCCGTACGATCGTTTGCATGACGTAATTGCAATTTGCGAATTGCACTTCGTGTCGGACATGTGTTTGATCTTGACATCGAGATGAGAAAGGAAAAATGGAATTATAAAAGATGGAAAGAAAGAGGCACGAGGAAATTGAACGAGTGTCTGAAATAACTGGGTATACAGTCAGCTGGCCTCGTACAATTCCCCTAATAGTTGCAATTAGATCAACCAGCCCGGCGTTCACCGCTTAATTGTCCTCTAATTAAATCAACTTCCACCCTTGTTTTCCATCCACTGCGAAGAGAAGTGGATTAGCGTTAAATAATACATGGGCGAGTCGATCGAGTCCCGATTAAACGATCGTCGAAATTAATCGCTCGAATTGGATATTCGTTTAAAATTTCATTTTCGTTTTCTACTCTGTCATTTGACACGGTAACCGTTTGATTAGGATCAATGGGATTTCTAACTTGTTGGATTGGACCAAAAACCGATATTGTTGGAATTGATTTTAGTGAAAAATTTCAATAAAATGGGAGATTCATTTTGTGATAACTCACCCACGCGATGCCAGTCGGGATTTTCTGGATGTGGAAACAGCAGACCATATGTTTCCTTTTTCGTTGGCTGGAATCTGAAATTAATCGAGTAGATTAATATTTTCCATAAAAATTCATCTAGAAAATATTCTTAAAAAATATATCCTCTTACCTTTGACTTTCATTATCTCGATCTCCAAGATACGGCCTTGTCAGATGGTATTACAAGTCCACTAGCAGGTCCAGTACGAAAAGCACTTTTCTTTACCTTTTCTGCTCTTTCTCCTTTTCATTTTGTTCCGCAACAGTGAAGTCTAGAAGAGAAAAGCTTCTTGCGGTCAGTAAAAATCCTCATTAAGTCTTCTTTATCTGAGCCAACTTATTTTGTTTGTTGTCTGTTGATTAAATGGTAAAAAAAAATGTAATAAATTAAACAGACAATTAATTTTGTATTATGTATAAGATACTTGTATATTATATACAGGTATCTTAGACCTTAAAAAAATTTTAGATTTTTATTAGGCAGTATCTTGGGAATTAAGGAATTTGTCACTAACCCATGGACTACATGGTTTAGAATTTTTATATTTTGGTATTTCGGTTGGTTGATTCTTTGGAAAAACGTGATGGAAGGGAAAATTGATGGTAAATGATTTTTTACAAAGCTAGGCGCGTTGGTAATTACAACGATTTGGCCGAACCGATGCGGAAATTATTTCACGGTAGAACGAGGAAACGTCAGGCATAGTTGTCACGCGATGCGGAATGCGTATTCACGTGTATGTGTGAGCGGGCGCGCGCGCGCGCGTGTGCGTGTGTGTGTGCCGATTTTAAGCGTCGAGAGCGAAATTACGCAATTCGTTAGCCGTAAATTCAGCGTTCATCGTTAAACCTTCAGCTTTGAACGGTTAACTCTTTGTCGACACTGTAAACGCAATAACAAACGCGGATAGTTTCGTTGTTTATTCGCGTATATCGCTGTGGGTACATTCTGTTCTATGAATGAAAAAAAAAAAAAAGAAGGGATTAGTACGGATTTAAGTTTTAAAGGATGGAATACGTTACGAAAAACACGTGTATATAAAATAATAGGTATATCAAAAGGTTCAAAATATTTTCTGATAATTAAAATATATTATATTATGTATGCGTGAAGTTATTTTACGTGTATTCTAGAAAAATAAGTTGAAAATATAGAGAAAGAGAGAAAAAGAGAGAGAGAGAGAGAGAGAAATATTCACATAAAAACTCATTTTAAAGAAAATGGAATTTGAAAATTCATCGAGTATACATGTAGTATATTATATCTGACAAAGCTTTGATTGAACATGTTCAAAATGGATTCTTTTTTAGAAAACAAGAATTTCTATGGGAAAAAAGTGCACGTTACACGCTACGTATTTCAGTTATTTTTACATATATATAAATATAAAAATATGTACTACTCTTTTTTTATTGTACACTCGTAGTCAAGTCAAAAATTAACATGTATTTGGCTGAGTCTATTTAATAATAAAAGAAGAGATCGTTCGCGCATCAATTTTTCTCAATTTTTGATATACACAGCATTTCTCACAACAAATTACAACAACCTATTATTCAATTCCCCATACAATATCTAACCTAACAATAAAAAAATTCCACGCATAATGAAACATATCCCACGATTACAATTCAAGTCTAAAAATTTCACACGCTACGTTCTATATAACGTTATATATAATCATCGCCTCCTGAATTATTCAATTTCCTGCAAAAACCAAGCCACGACAAAAAAGAAATTCCATACAAAATTCCGTAAGAAGACATATCCTATGCTTACGATTCTTATGTTAAATAAAAATTTTTATTGAAGTACATCTGGCATTCGTGCGCGACTTGGTCGCCGATAGATCGACGGAATTTCACAGACACACGCGATTTAATCGGAAACATTGCGTGCATACACACGTATATACGTACATCGTACATCATGCATCGGTTCGTGCGTTTGAAACGAGGGAGGAGGCATGTAATTAAAAAACCGGCGAGATTTTGGATTTTTTTTCAACCCTCCGCAATCCAAACGATCCCTTTTCTCTCTCTCTCTCTCTCTCCTCTCCTTTCTAGGCTAACCACGTATGGAAAAAGTTCTCGTTTGCGATTTTCACAAACGGAAACACGCGCGATTCGCCTGATCCAGGATCACTACCGGTGTTTAATTAGCCGGGACGTCTGGCTGTGTGTACGAACACGAATGAAAATTTTAATTCGAATCGAAACGATGGCCACCGCGGCTTGAAATTCACCCCTTCCATTAATCATCTTGTTTTTACAATAGATTTTTAGATTGACCATGGACGGTGGGGAAATTTCATTTTCCAGGACGATTCGTGTTTAATTCTTGCCTCGGTGACCAAGGTTTTAAACATTCAATTTCAGATTTCTGATTTCGCTAATTTTTTGGTAATGGGATTTTTTGATGTAAGTTGTTGTAACTTCGCTTGAAATAACTGGAGAATTCAAAAATCGATTTGAAAATATTTTGAAGAGATTGGTTAATTTTTAATTTTATGCTAAGTGAAGGGATACCTGGATAGCTGGATATTAACATAAGAATTAAGTGCACTTTCGTTAATTGATTTTAAAAATCGAAATAGTACTATTTGTTACGCGTCTCTGTCTCATAAATTTCTACTCTTTCTCTTGGAAGAGCTTGTAATTAATGAGTGTCGACAAATAATTAATTACAATATAACAGATTGTGTAATAGGTTGTTTACAAAGAATTATTCTAGAGATAGTATTCTCAATTGAGAATGATATATAATTATTCGAGAGGACGATCTTTCTGTTCAACAGATTCATTAAGATAATATAAGATCTGATTCTTCTTGAAAAAATTAACATTGAGATATTTATGAATCTTGAAGAGAATTATGAATCAATACCGATCAATATTATTTTTATTTTTTATCGTAGAAATATAGCAATGTGCATATTTATGTAAACAGATATTGACGATCTTATTTTTCTGTTTCAATTTTGCACGTATCAATATTCAGAGATAGTAAAAAGATTTATAAGGAAGAGTAATATCCCGAGATAGTGAAGAAAAATATCTTTCATCTTCAGCATTGAAAACTGTTTCTATATTCTAGATTGCCGATAAAGAAAAATATTGAATTCTATCAATTTTAAAATCTATCTTCTTCAAAGTTTATTAAAACTAATTAATAATTAACTAGAAATTTACTAGTGTTAAACATTTTCTTTGGCTTTAATAATTTCTATAAATCAGTTAATAGGAATATCAAAAATAAAAATAAAAAAAATTTTATTATTAAAACTAAAAGAAAATTGGAGACTTTTAAATGGATCACTAAATCAATGCTTCAATTTTTTAAAACAAAAGAATTTGAAGTATCGAAATTGAAAATTCTATTATGAAAAATTAAAAAAAAAAAAATCGAAGAATTTTATCATTAATTATAATATAACTACTTGATCTATTTTCCAACAAATCAACTATCAATTTCTCATTAAATCAATATGAATTTCCTCAAAAAATCCTATCAATCTCAACAAAAAATTCGAATGTTTCAAAAAGCTAAAAAAAAAAAATAAATAAATAAATAAAAAATAGAATAACGAAACCACTTTAAATTCCATTCTGCCGAAAATCCAGGAAGAAGAGAACGTAATATAGGCGATGGCTTCTCGGTACGGCGAAATTCCTCGAACTGACGGAAAATTATTGGGAAAATCTATCGACTGGCGGGCGCAGCGAGGCGAGGCAAACTGCCGCTAATCACCGGCGAAATCTCGATTTAATGGTCGACAGGAGGGTGGCCGTGGTGCACGTGGAGAGAGAGCTGGTGATGCGCAACGCCTAGCCGAACAAAAACCGTCGTCTGGTCCGCTCGCATGCGTCGCAACGATAAATGCGATCGCGCCTCGCTGCATACACACTCCGTTACATTTTATGCAAAATAGCCGAGCCGCGACGCCGGCCTCCATGGATTTATCGATGAATCCGCGCGTGCATTTCCTCGAATCGGAGGAAACCCGCTTCCGTGATCCATCTTCGCTTCATAGTTCCCTTTGATTCGAGTTGCAGAAAGATCCGGGTACGGTATTGCTCGGTACTCGTTATTTCGAGAATATATAGTGTATCCTGAAAATATTCGAAATATTTTTCTTTTTTTTATTCTTTATATTAAGGACAAAATTATATTCAAAATAAAACTTTGAGGTTTGATTTTACTCTTATAAATAGAAAGAAAGAAAATATAATATAAAAGAAATTACAAATATTTCAATTTTCAATTAGACATAAAATCTAAAATCTCCACAGATAGAATCATAAATCTTTTCAATGTCTCCTACTTCATCCAATTCTAAAACCAATATTCAAATGTTTCAATAATTCTCAACTTCAATAATCCATGAACTCAATCTTCTTCATCAATTTCTTAATCAAAAAAAAAAAAAAGAAAAAGAAAAAGAAGAAAGAAAAAACTACCCGATAAAAGTTCATCTAATAAAAGAAATTTTCAACTACTATCGGATTCACCAGACCTATCCGTCATCCAAAGGCCGCAAATGAAATCGAAAAGAAGAGTAGCACGCTGGCACAGAATGAAAGAACGGCGCCAAAGGCTTGGCCACCACCACCGCGGGTGGGCTCCGGTTCTTAAAAAGTCAATTTCACGGGGCGAACGGCCAAAGGGGATCGACAGGTTGATCGCGCGGATCCACTCTGTCCATCCCCGTGGTTTTTTACGGACGTGGAGGGAAAACGAATACGTACAGGTTTGGTAAAGAGCGTAAGCGAGCGCCACCCCATCATATTGATCGTAGCCGGCTGCTCAACATGGCGCCGGGGATGGCGTTTGCGATCGGTCTGATCCTCGTCGTCGGACAGCTGAAGGAAGGGCCAGGCACCCTCGCCAAGACCTTCACCTTCCCTGAATATCCGTACAAGGAGACTACCAAGAATGTAAGTCGTCCAAACCAGTTTGGCGAGAATCCTCGCGAGGGCCGCGTTTCCATCTTGTGTACAGGTTATGGTCGATGCCTTGTGTTTTGGGGGGTGGCGCTTTTTGCCGCACCGGCCTCGTCTGGCAACTGTATTAAATTCAGCATTGGCAGGGAACCTACGGTGATTACGATAGAAATATTAGAAAAGAATTTCTTATTATCGTTTGTTTCTTTTCTACTTCTTTAATATTTTATTTATATTTTATATGTTTAAAGAAATTATTTTATATTTGTTTCGGATGAAGATAGTTATTAGTTGAGTAATTAAATGATTACCATGTAGGAAGTTACGTAGGATTCCTCGAGTTAAAATTATCGAGAGACCTCTCACAGTGATATCTTGTCAGTGATGCGTGATACTCGAGGATTGCTTCGCATCGTGGATCCAGCATCCCCATGGGGGACGTAACGAGGCGACGGGTGATTTCGCGATTTCGCCATGGGGGTAAAATCGATTTGGCATTAACTCGAACAGTCAAAGTGCTCGAGGCGTACTTCGATTTTATCACTGGTGCTGATATATCTTTGCCATTTCGAGAAACTGTAATCAAGTTTGCTTCGAGAAAAGAATCGTCTTCGACAAAAATACGGTTCTTGTGAATTCAACTTCTCTATTGTCTTTTACTTCACAGTAAAATAAAAATAGTATCGGTATTAGTATCAGTATTTGTATCAGTATTTGTATCAGTGTATTGTCCATACAAAAAGAAAGGAAACTATCTTCAAAGAAAATTAAACAACAGCATCAATAATAGAACTCGTACGAGCATTAATTGGGGTTAATCTTTGAACACGCACGAACCAATTGTTACGCTCAATTTTATCCCATTATTGTTTGTTAGAAGCATACACAGTTAGCTATATTCACATTTTCCATCGCGTGCTAAAAGACTCTTCAACTCGGTATCAATCGAATGGAGTGGATTTGAATTTAGTTCTGATATTTTTATAACAAAATGTTGCCCGCAGGAACTTCTCTTCAGGCAATTCGAGCAGGCTTGCGAAGAAAGCGGCGCTTGCAAGATCTTATCACCGGAAAGAAGTGACATCGCCAAAACAAGATGCATTCGCGAATGCGTGTCACCGTCCTGTTACAAAGAAATCTATTTGTTCGATCAGGTACTACTCCCTCATTAATTGCTCTTAAACTCTCTCATTTTTTTTTTTTTTAAATATTTACGTGAAATATTTCAAGTTCGAGCATTTGATTGCAGTTAGAAGAAGGTGAGATCGACGTGAGATTGAACTCTTTCAAGGGTTGTTTCATGCAGCGCAACGCTCGCCCGCGAAAATAACAAAAACCTGCCATCACGAAAAGAAACCGGAAAAAGAAACGCCGAGCACGGCAGAGGCGACTACGAAAGGCGGCGAACACGGATTCCAAGCGAAAGACGCACCGCACAAATCGTGTCCGACCAGTTCCCGAATAATAATAATAAATAATAATATGACAATTTTTAATACACACTATCCGGCCGGGGCATTTAGAGCGAGGAGAGCAATCAAGCTATTTAGCATACACAACAAACTATGGATACATTATATTTCAGGATCACGCTGAAACGCACGCGTTAAACAGTTAAGCCGGGACGGATTAAATTCGTCCATGATTGATCTTTTTCTACTTTTTGTACGCACGTATTTAACATGTTAACGATGTTATCGAGCAATGTTGCACGGATCGAATAAACTGTTAAAGCAAAGCTTCTCAAGGCTGTATATTTCATTCACGTTTCTCCCAAATATTCCTTATATTGCGATAACTAGAAATAACGTATTATTTTTACAAAAAATGATAAGAAAATAAATAGTAGATGATAATAGATGAGAAGATATTTATGAGAGTGAGAGACTCACCGCGTAGAGAAGATTGTAAAACGCTGTATCGGTTCTCAAATTCTTTACCATATCAACGTAGCTCTTGATCTGATCCAAAGTTTCCTCGAACGGAGTCTTGCAAAGTGATCTCGCGTTCCACGGTCCTTCATCGTTGCAATATCTTTTTCGATAGCGGAGCCAGGTTGAAACGAACTCGAGAAAGTGATAGCTTACGTGGCATGTCTCCAGGATAGAAGATACGATATCATAGTTGCTCATCAATGTGCACATATGATACATCAGAGACTCGACATTTACGTGGCAGAATTTCAAGACACCTTGGAGACATTGGTACACAATATCTCTTTGCGTTGGCTCGCACTTGAATAAAAAAATCATAAAATATTAATAGCATGTATTAATCTTAAATTATAAAATATATCTTCCTCTCTTAAACTGAACCAATCTATTTTTTAGGATTAAAACGAATTTATTAAATATATATAAATCTTTCGAGAATCAACTATATTTAGAGCCAATTATTCGATTGGAATATAAGCACTAACTCTTTCATGAACGGTATGAAGGATCTCGTAGAGATTGATCAAACCCTCCGCTCGATCGTCAGGGATCTCGTTCAGTCTGACAGGTGATCCGTCAATATTTTGAGTTAAAAGTTCCAGCGTGAGTTGCATTCCATTGATCGACGAGTGGACGTAGCTCCTCGTATTTAACAGCAAATCGGCTAAGCTCTGCACGTCAATCGTCACCGGCTTACCACGCTGGAAAACACGTTCGATTGATGGTTGATCGATAACACGGATCTATTATTTACGAACATGGGTATTCCTCTACCTGGATCGACGATTTTTCTTGACAGTGTACAATATACGCGAGGAGTTTCAAGCAGACAGCGGATAATTCAGGCGTTTCGATCGAGAAACCTTGCGCGAGCAATTCTTCCAAGAATCTTGATGCCATGCAATACTTGTCTAGAACTGTGAAAGAAAAGGAAGGGTGAAGAAGAGTGAAATCGTTTCTTTTTTACTATTTATCGAGCGAACATCTCGCTGAAATATGTACTCGTGAACGGTTTGACCGTCATGGACGTGACCAGCAACGCGTACGACTGCATTATTACTAGTGTCCTCAGCTTCAAGTCCCCTTCTTGATGTAGGAAGATGGATATAAGATTGTCCGCGCACCTGTTCCTGATGCTCGGTGATAAGGAATCCGGAATGGACACATTGGTCAGCTCTAATACAGCTTTTATTTGCTCGTCTATTGAAAATTTTTAGTTTAAAAAAAGGTTTAATGCAAATTGAAGAATATTTAAAACATAACATTTAAAAAAATTTATTAATTAATTAATAAAACTCATTAAATATTATGTATAAAAAATTAATGATTTGAAAGTCAATTATAATATTTCAATGAAATTTCTAATTTATTCATACATTTCTATTGATTCGCTAGACTAAACATTTAAAGAACAGCATCAAACAATTTCCAATTAATTTTATGTCATATTTTTCATATATATATTTTTTTCTATTGAGACTATGTGGATGTTTACGTATTTATAAAAAATTTAAATATAAATGTAAAAATTTTAATATAAAAAAAAATAAAAGTAAAATGCATATTGTGACATTTAAAATATTTGTGTTATAAAAATTTCAATCTATATAAAAGAATACCTTTCGATGGTTGATAAGATGAAAGAAGATTAGGCAATATGTGCCAGGTAATCTCCGCAATTTCCTTGCAATTATCCACACGTATCATCTCTCTAATCCCCTTCATCGCAAGATTGATTATCTTATCCGAGTATCCCGTTTGTATAACAAGCTTTTTTCCAAAAGAACTTTCATTAGATCATCTTATCTGGTCTTACAATTTCCTCGAAGCTTTCAAGCATATGCAAATTTACCAATAAATAATGTTGTACAACTTTTGCACAATCCAGAGTTAACAATGGTTTGATGTCACCGTCAGATTCAATCAACCACAGATCCATCGCTCGGTTTCGCAGATCCTTGGGAAATTCGTGGCAATTCAGACAATAATGCATCAAATCTATGTGATGAGTGTAACAATCGTTCAACTTGGAATATTGTAACGCAGCTGCCAATCGTTTCACGGCTTTGTCGTAATTCTGTTCCAATCTCGGCGATGGATGCGATACGGACGCAACAGCGAACAGAAACCATAAAATTTTCAAAATTTGAGCCGGTATCTGCTCGGATTTAGGAAGATTAACGATCCTTTCTATCAGTGATTTCAAGCATATCATATCGGTTCTATATAATATGATATTTCAAAATATAATAGTGTTAAGAAAAAATTATTGATCTTAATTCGAATATAAATAATTTTATACTCTCTGGTTCCATGGAAGTGATAGTAAATTAGAGTCATTAAGGCAGTCGCGCTATTCCCTTGATGATGAGCTATGATGTTCATCCATTGTTCGGGATCTTTTGGAAGATCCAATAATCCTTGATGCACCAAATTTTCAAAGCTTATTTCTCGACTTGTGGATTGAATAATTGGCATGGATTTATCGGCTAAAGTGATTATAATCCGTGATAATAGCATGCAAGTGCTACGTCGTAAGATTTCTCTAAAATAATAATAATAATAAATAAATAAATATCTAAATAATAATAATAATAATAAAAGAAGATTGAATTGAAATGAAGATTTCTAAATAATATAAAAGTTGTAATAGCAGAAATAATCTCCAATAAAGTAAGTATTTCTCATGGTACAATGAAACTTTTGCTATACTTTCAATTCGTTTTTTCTCAAATCTAAAAAGTTCGATATTTTTTTCTTTTGAATCATTTCTATTGATAACGAAGTTTAACAGACTTTATTATTATTTATTATTATATTAATTATATTATTTTTTTCACAAGCAATCTTTTTTTCAACATTAAAATAGCTCTTTGATTTGAGTGATAAAAAATTCCTATGCTCATTGTTTTGGAAAAACAACCTGATGTATAAATAACAAATAAACAAAGGGAAAATAAATAAATGAACCAAAGATGTGAAGCAAAGCAAAAATATAGAGGAACACATTTATAAATTGGAGCTGTGAGAGAAAACGAATTCCGTTATTAAAAAGGTATGAATTTTTCTGTCCACAGACAGTGCAAGATTTATAAGATGAAATTAAATTACTTTCAAACGTTTCAAAGTTTTTTCTTTTTTCTAATCATATAACGACTACTAGCTACAACTTCAAATACAAGTAACAATCATGATGGAATCACTTGAGCAATTTAATCGCATCATCGAACAAATGGATTGTCGTCGAAACTTACGGAAGTCTGATGGTTAACAGCAAGAAGTACTTCAGATATCCATTGGCGGTCAAGTGGTTTGACAAGTTGTCGCGACCGCAGCGACTGCTCAGCTTGTAAAGGTTGTTCAGACAAGTCACAAGATTCTTATGGAATTTAACCCTGTCCGTTTCGTTTGATTCTGTATTCTGCAAAATGGGAATGAAAAGGGTCTTTGATATTCGTTGTAATTAAATATGTGTCGCATCGAATCTATTAAAAACGTTTTAACTTACTTTAACGTAAGGTATCAACGTGTTCATCGTTACTGTGCGGATCGTCTTTGTCAGGGTGGATTTGAACTTCGAGACTTTGTCGAAGAATCCTCGATTGTCGTCTTCCGTGATGCATAACCTGAAAAAAAACAAGCTTTTATGTTAATAAAATATATAATTATAATTTAACATTAGAATTATTTGAGTTATTCATTTATTAGTTTCATAATCAATTAAATAGTATTTCTTAATAAATAGTTATAAATGTAATTAAAATTATTTTAATTACATTTAAAAAAAATTATTTTCTTATATTTTTTAACTATTTTTTATACATTAGATATTTACAGATTATAAGTCTCGACAAATATTTGAATTTTATATTATTATAGAAATATTTAATGTTTGTAAGAAAAAAATAAGGAATGTCTAATGATTATTCAAATATTTCTATCATACAGAAATTTGCTAAAATTTACCCAGAAATGTTATTGGAATTAAAACAAAGTATGATTATTATTTATGATTCTAATTGAGAACTAAATATCTAAATATCTAATTATAACTAAGTAAGTAACTAAGTATTTAAGTATTTAAATTGTGTTAGAGAACATTTGAACAATGAACTAATATTTCACATTTATAAAGTTTAATTTTTGACAAATATCCAAATATTTTTGAATTATACAAATATATAATATAAATATAATATATAATATATTATATATAAAATATATAATATAAATATATTTATAAATTATCAAAATTAAATAAAATATATACTAATTCATGATTATTCAAATTTTTAAATGTATCTGAATGAATTTCCAAAATTTAAACAAGAAATCAATGTTTTATGTATGGAAAATTTAATACCTAATAAATATTTAAATATTTTAAATTATGCTATATAAATTGCGATTACAATTGAAGTGTTTTTCTCGATAAAAGACTAAAATTAACATTAGGAAACTTGTAAACTTTTAGTTATGAAACTCTATCTATTCGAATGTATGTATATAATATATAATCTCACCGTGTAGAAGAGGAGCAAACAGCACACAATGCATTCGCAGCATACGAGACCGAGACATCATCGTCGCTATATTCGACGATCTCTTTCATTAAATTGAGAGCTTTGTGACACAGTTCATATACACCGTCATCCCATTCGTCTTCAGCATCAACGTTTTCAAGAACGAGATTCAATAACAAAATGGAAGAAAATTTTATCTTTTGATCCCAAAGATTTTCCAAGATCAATAATTTTAGAAGAATTAGTACTTGTCTCGGTACACAAACTACGTTGAAATCCATATTGAACTCTACTGCTCTATAATTTATTACAGTTTATAATATACATAATAATATGCTTTTTTACAAAGTTACTAAATAATATTTTCTTAAATATTCACCTATAAAGTATATCATAAATACTTGAAATAAGCTTCTCTAATATTTGAGTTTCTTTACAACGAGATTTTAGAATGCAAACTGTAATTTTCAAAATGGAATCCAAGGCATCTGTGGCTACGTGACTTTCGTAAAACTTTCGATATATTAATACCAAATCCAAAAAATCAAGAATACATCTATTAAGATATAATAAAAGATTTAAAAAAAATTACTGATTTGTTTCGTATTAAATATTTTATATGAAACGTACGGAAGTAAACGATCACTGGAGGTTTGTAAAATTTCAAATATAATCGAAAGTATGTCGAACTTGATTAACTTTGAAAGAACTGCCTCTTTCTTCACAACGTCACCATTTTTGAATAAGTTGGATATTCGATCGATGCATTTGATCTATACAATTTCTTTTTAGATTATAATTATACTATTACTATGTAATGATGGTTATGATATATGATCCAATGTAAGTTTATAATATATTCATATTTTAACTAGAAAGGTACACTTAAAAACCTTTGCAACATGTGAATATGAACAACGAACTTTGATGTTTCGTTTACAAATCGAAAATTATGAGAATTTTGAGAATTATACATACCTGAGAATATTCATCGCCTAACATCAATCTCTCCTTTGTATTTATAAGCAAAATATCGATATCCTTAATATGTAACTGAAATAAAGGCTCCATTTTGCACAAATAACTGATAATTTACACAAAATTTGTAAGAACACGCAATAAATTAATCTACGACCACCACAGATTTCCCTCCAAATTGCTGAACGTACTTTTAGAACTACGTACATGCGCAGAACTAGTACGCAGGACTACCACGCAGTTTTAAGGAGCAGAATTAACCGCCAACGCCATCTCTTGTATATTAAAGACACTTCCTTATAGAATAAAGAGATAAAATAAAGAAGAATAGGAATTGATGATAGGCGCCATCTCTTGTATATTAAAGACACTTCCTTATAGAATAAAGAGATACGATAAAGAAGAATAGGAATTGGTGATAGGCGCCATCTCTTGTATATTAAAGACACTTCCTTATCGAATAAAGAGATAAGATAAAGAAGAATAAGAATTGATAATAGGCGCCATCTCTTGTATATTAAAGACACTTCCTTATGGAATAAAGAGATACGATAAAGAAGAATAGGAATTGATGATAGGCGCCATCTCTTGTATATTAAAGACACTTCCTTATAGAATAAAGAGATAAGATAAAGAAGAATAGGAATTGATGGTAGGCGCCATCTCTTGAATGTTTTTAGAAATATATTTTTACACTACTCAAGAGATGGCGTTGACGGTTAATTCTTATTCTATCTCTATCCTTTTTCTATTATTTTCTTTCCTTGTCTACATAGTTTCATTTGCGGCACTCTAGAGATGGCGCTGATTTTCATATTTTTATCCTATCGCTATCCTTGTCCCACTACTTGCTTTCTTTGTCTATCTTTAATTTCGATGCGTCATTACAAAAGTGATATATAATGTTAATTAAAACTAAACAAATTTTTGAGAAAACAGATTGATAGAATATTTATTCTATTTTTTACTTGTGATTTCTTTTTAATTCCAATCATTACTAATGTTGTAATTTTATTGTGACATTAAATTACTTATGTTAAATTGCATTAAAAAGGTTAGAAAGTTTTAGTGTTTCGATGTGATAAAAAAATATATTGAAGTAGATTTATTGTCTAATTCTTTCGAAATCTACGAAAATAGATTCATTAAACAGATATTCACGTCAATGGTTACTATATTTTATTTCAAACGTTATTATAAATTATAATACAAATACAATAAGTATAATTGTAATATATTATAAATGTTAAACAATCCTGAGTAATTACTCTACATAAGAGATAATGAATCATATTGTTATCGATAATCCTTTTCTTTCTCTCGTTCTTTCTTTCTTTTTTTTTTGTTGTAATTCGCTTTCCTCGACATTATTCACAATGTCGGATGACATCCTCGCTGGAACGAACCGTGACAATATATAATATAGAATATAATATAATAATAACATATAATATAAACAATCCATTTCATATGGAAGGGGTTAATTCTAAGTTATTTATATTTTCTTGCTCCTTAAATTGAGAACGTCATAAACTATACAATATTAACATCAAAAAATGATAATGTCGCGATCCGACAAAAACATTTACACAATGACAAAATGCGGTAATACACAGTGCAATGTGACAACGCCGTATTATATTCAATATTATGTGCAGAATCTATACATAACAAGAGCGAAACAAGCGTACAAATAATTTTCGATTTACGAAAAATTAACGAGAAACAGTGCAGGTAGTAAAGAAAAGAGAAAAGAGAAAACGAAAGTAAATTAGAATAAATCATACCTCGTTTTCTTTTACCGCGATAAAGTTTCGCCATTTTTCGCTTTAACATACTAATCGTCTTTACAAAACAAATAAAAAAAAATAATAATAATAGTCACGAACAACGTGTCAACAAAATGAAAAAAAAAAAAAAAAAATTATAATCGAAGCCTCCCTAGAAGACGAACTTTGAGCCGATCGTCGATTAAAATTAGCCCCCTCGTAAAGTCACAAGATGGCATTATAACAAATCTTACGATTTTTATAATTAAAACGCAAACGTAACAACCTTGACGAATTATTTGTCAATACACTTTCACACCAATACATATATGCGTTACATTGCGTTAACTACCACGACACTTGTATAAATGACTCGCAATACAGTAGACTGTCAATTACTCAAACTTTTGGTCTCTTTTTCTACGTTTAGAGATTCCTGTATTCGAGACCACGAAATTTAATTAATCGATAATCGACGTTCTACTGTATTTCCTTCGCATCTGTCGCTTTTCGTGCCATTTCTCGTCATCTCGAAAAAAATTTTAAAAAAATATCCTACCTAGGATAGTAGTCTTAATTTCCAATAATTCTGCTCAATTGATTCAATTAAATTAAATTTCTCAACATATTTCTCTATTTATTATAATTCAGATTCAGACTCGAAGCACCAGAAAAATATATCGCGTACTAAGAAGATAAAACAAAAGGAACGAAATGCTTTGATTAATGATCATGTATACAATTGCACCATTACGATAATTGCAAAATAATCACGACGAGAAACGGCAGATATAAACTGAAATAATGCCCTAGAAACGCACGTCGCTCGCGAAAATCGATCGAAACGATCACTACTCGGTCCTACGGGAAAAATCATCGAAAGTTTTAAATGCGTATCAAATTAACCACCTTTATCGAGCGGTGGTCCCATTAAACGATATAAATTCGATCGATATGAGGGAGAAGAAAGAGGACAGTCCCTTCGAAAACGACCTATCGTTCGCGATAGGCTTTCAACCGTAAAGCAGAACTCGCGAGCCTAGCGCGGGACCCGAGCCTCGTTTCGGCTATTGAATCATGTTTACTTGATAAACATGCTCAATATCGTTACGTTACGACGAGCACGATCCCGGGCGATCGTAATAATTGACATTTGCTCCATTCTACCGTCGAAGCTCTATTCCCTATGGCAGTGACGAATTGCCTGTAAATTGTCAATGGAAAAAAAAAAAAAAAAAAAAAATAAAAAATTTTTTGGATTGTCTAAATATTTGAAAAGAAACGAATATCGAAAAATGCTGTATTTTTGTGGGTGATAATGCAAAGAAGTCGAAATTCGTGGGTCTTGAGGAAGACTCGGAACGAGTCTGACTTAGCACCATTCGAAAACAATTGTACGCGCGAATTATACAATTTAAACGAGTTTTCGACGATGTATTTTTTTTTTTTATATGATATGCGTGATTATGAATTTTTAACGGAAGAATATAGTATGCGTGTTAATTAACGATTCAGAGCTCGAAACGTTTCTTCCTCTCGGCGACCATTCCCACTGCTGGAAGTGGTGGGTGGAGCGGGTGATGATAACTCGGCGTGGGCGTTGGAGGCAAGCTACGACAACTTCTGCTGGACCATCTCACTGCTGGAGACCTCATCAGCTCTGTAAATGGGATTACACTTTATTCGGTATTCTCTTCACTGATTTCGCTTTCTCCCGTGTTACCTTGAATGATAAGCTCGCGTGGAAAAGGAAATCAAGGTGGTAAACTCGGGTAAAAGAATATGTATGATTACTTGCATTAATATTTGAACATTACATTATATCTTCTTAAGGATTATTTAAATATAGTATGTATTTATTTTTAAACAGAAAAATGTTTCATATTCTATTCATATTCTTTTCATAAAGATATTCAAAATATCATTGTTTAAAATAACACATGAAATATATAAATAATCCTTTCACATACAAAATAAATAAGTATTAATGCAAGTAACTGTACACACTCAGAAAGTCCAAATCCAATATATGTGCATCAACAATTAAACTGCAAACACAGTACAATATTGTTATAAAATTAAACGAATATATGAATGAATTAAACAAATATATTATAATAATACAATGTTATTACAATAACAACATAATATTATAATATATTATAACAGAATACGTGAAGGAACCTGAACCTAAACTTTGACAAGCTTCTAATTTTATCCCAAGCCAGTTAAGCAGCCAAGATAAAGATGTAAGCAAAGTTAAAGAAAAGGTGAAGAAAAAGAGAAAGAATAAAGTGCAGAATAGGGAAGCGTGTCGGAGACAAAACAAAACTGATGGAGTGCTTCGTCGACGAATTCGTTGCAAGATTCTTCCTTAATTGGCAAAGAAGAGAACGGACCTGCAACGGAGAGAGCTGGGGGTTCCGGGGTGAGGCGGGACTCGGGAGGATTGTCGGCATGGAAGCTGTATGCCTCTTGCTGTTTTTCGGTTTTGTCGCTGCTCTGCCAGCCACCGCCGGCGCCGTCGACCTCTGCTGTGCCACCTTTCGTGTGAAATACAATTGTCGAAATACGATTATCAGGTTTGCACAGTCCGTTTCCGCGTATACATCATAATTGTCACGTCATTCATTCGTGTAGTCATTTTTAGGAATTATTTCAGAAAACGAATAAAATTGTCTTGGACTTGTCAGAAGAAGGGTATGAATATTTATAAAGTCTATGTATAAACGATATGATTTGTGGGTTCTGTTAAATTGAAATTTGTTCCATATAGTTTTCGAATTTTTATATTTCAATCTCACATTTGTCTCGATTAATAAAAACTTGATGATTTGAGAAAAATTTTGAGATATCTAACAATAATAATATAACGATATAATATTATATATATTATTGTTATGTATTATTATATATTATTTTATATATATATATATAATATATAAATATATGTAATAATATAACGATAAAATTTTTAAATAGTCTCTCTACATGGTCAATATTATAAAGAAATATAAATATAACTCGAAGAATCTCGAAGAAGCTCGAAGAACCCAAAAATCATGTAAAAATTAAAACATATTTTAATTCTACGTTGCCACCGATCTGTATCTCTAAGACAGATGACAAGACGGTCAGAATGGAGTAATTAATGATTTTTCTTACACACCTAATTATGTTCCCAATAGTGAAGCGGCTCTTACAGTTACAATCGCAGAGTTTGATGCGGGTGTTCGGAAGCATGTGGAATATTTTTATGTAAAAAATTGACATTTCGTACTGTATACAGATTGCAAAAATATGATCTCCAGTAATAAGAAAATGTAAAAAGTTTGCGTTACAAAATTCTTCGCTTATAAAAACACTATGGTAGACTATTTCCCCTAATCCCACACGCTTCCGAATCTATGTTAATGATACATTGAAAAATTATTATGCGCACAGATTAGACATCCAAGGAGTACAAAATCACATTCACGAGAAGGCAGAAGTTATTTTGCGTTACATCGTTAAAAAAAATTCTCTTGTTAGCAATTGGTTAGACAACCCTCGAGTAATGGATTAATAATTTTTTACGCTTTCGTATCGAAATAGCGATTAATAGTCGTTCAGTACATCACTTGTCAAATCGAAACATTATTATCGTCGAAGAAAGCCGGACAAAAATGATCCGCGTTTACAACCTTATCGACGCGTTACACATGTAAATAACAAAAACGTTAATTGCACAACAAGAAATTTGATTAAATTCGCTTTGATTCGATTTTGATTCATTTATCAACTAGAATTTTTCATCTTTCCTCGAAGCGGTTAATTTCTAAATAGAAAGCACCAGGTTAGTCTTATTATGTTCCCCGTAATAATATCTCTTCCTCGAACAAAAAAAAAAAAAAAAAAGAGGCAATCGCAAAAACCTATGCCGCGAATCATCCTTTGTTAAACCATTCGTTAACCTTAAGATTAACCCCTTCGCTACCAAGGATGAGAAGCAATGAGATGTTATGAACGATTCAACTTTTTTTTTTATCCAAATCGTTGGACCAGATATTCTACTTGAAATATTTCTTTTTAGCGAAGGGGTTAAAAGCAAAGGCCTCGATCCTCGCAAATTGTAGCGCATGCCAAAGTTCGTACTAAACACGAAAAGATGATCGATAGAAAGGAAAATAAAATAAAAAAAAAAAAAAAAAAAAAAAAAAAGCAACGAGCCAAAGTTCGACTCGATATCAATCATTCAACGTACGAACGATCCAAGCCGAATGCAGCTGCTATGCTTTTCAAAGAAGAAGCGGAAACGAGGAGGAGGAGAAGGATCGAGAAACGGCGGCGATCCAATAGAAGCATTGTTTTCATTTTTTTTTTTTTTCCCCCCCTCTCTCTTTCTCTTTCTCTCTCTTTCTCTCTATCAGCTTCCTGCGATTCGCTCGCGTCTCTTTCACAGTTCCCATTTCACCTTTCTTCTGTACCTTGATACTGATGGGGCAGTCCGCTCCTCGGTCTCAGGCTGTCCCAGAGCGGCGATGCCAGGCCGTTACGCTCCTGGCTCTTTTGCCCTAAGCTCACCTCTTTCACGTCGTGCGAGTTCACGCCAGAACTATTGCCCGGCCTAACCAAGTTACTCGAGTAAGGCAACGAGACCGATTTAACGCGTTCAAGCTTGTACGAGAACGCTGCCTGCTTGTCCTGCGTGCTCTTTTGCAACGTGGACAGCGTGCTTCTCGGCCTTTCGCCGCCCGTTCTCTGCTCCTCGCTGCTCGCCGCTCTGAGCAGCGGCTCGTTATTAATCCTGCCACGCTGCGGCGAGTAGCTTAGCGACGAAGATTTCGATGGCACACCGGACGTATCACGAGGGGCCTCCCCATGCTGTTAGTGAAATATCGAAAATATATAATGCGTAAGTGCGGCTTGGTATGGTGGGTGGGGTTAACAACGATCGTCGGTGATCGGTGCCGGGTCAGAACGGAATGTCGTGTGTCAACGTGGACAATTACACCTTATGGGGCTACTCACGAGGCTCGATGGTAGGTACAGTAAAACCTCCGTGGACTTGCTCCTATTGGAAATTTTTATTGTAAAATTGTTGTTATTATTATTATTGTTATCAATGTATGCAAGTGTTATTGAATATTAAACTCTTAATTCGTGAGATGCGATTTTGTTACGTGACTGGTAAGAAAGGACAGAGCAATTTTTAATATTGTAAATATTGATGAGTAATATACGTTTTAATGTCTTATGTATAAAAGATATTTGATCGTTGGATAAGTTCGTGTCTAATTTGATCTTCGATCATAGATTGAATGTATTTTTTCAAATTACGGAAACGAAATCGATCGACACGAATTTATCGCGAGAAGATCCAAGTATCTTTTTTTTTCTTTTTTTTTTTTTTTTTTCTTTCTTTCTTTTTTCCTTCCCTATCAATTGAGGCGGATGAATAAAGCGAACATGGAAGCTTTGCTGTACCTAACTTCGTCTCTAGCCTATGTCTACTATGTGTTTATTTACAAATGATAGACCGAACTTCGTTATTTAGAAGCGTTTTCTCGAAACGTACTCGACGATCAAGCGTCAGAGCGTCGTGGAGCATCGTATCGCAACAACAAGCTCGTAAGGGGAGGTGGGTATGCGCCATAACATGTAATTGCGGAGTTAATCATCATTTAGTATGGTACATTTTCTTTTTTCTTTTTTGTTAACCACATCTACGCTGTAAACGGGGCACGTTCACGGCGGTGGGAAGGGTTTCAAAGGGTTACCTTCAACTGTTGCAGTCGATGGATCTCTTCCCTCGGCTCTCCAATCTCGTTGTCCCTGCCCCTCAACATTTGCATGTTGTCGTTTGCGCTGTCGTTCGTTTCCAATACAAGATGCGCCCTAAGCTGTTTGTTCCTCGCGTCCAATTGCATAATGTGTTGTTGCGCTTGAGCAAGCTGCTTGGTAAGGGATCCTACCTTTTCCTCCAAAGCCGCTGATTCTACGCACTTGGACGAGTACTTGGCAGATAAGGAAAGAATCTCCTGTTTGATCTCCTCCATCTCTTCCCTGTACAATTATAATATAAATTAATACGAATTGGCTATGATTTAACGATCGACACTTTTTAATAAAATAAAATGGGAAAATACAATGGGAATTGATCACGTACTCGTGTTCCTTGTGAAGCACGCCAATGTCTTCGCGTGCCTGCATTTGTTTAATAAATTCCTGTTTGAATTTAGCTATTTCTTTCTGCACCTCGTGCTCGTGAGCTTTTCTCATAGCGTCCAGGGCCGCCAGAGTGGCCTGAGTCTCTTCCGACAACGCCTGCTCCTTCTCCACCCTCAGATTTTCCAACTCTTGTCGGTGTTTCTCTTCCATCTCGGAAATGATGCGCCTGTGAGAATTCTCCATAGCGAGCAAACCCTTTTCGCACAACGCTCGCAGTTGCTTGATCTCTTCTTTGTATCTCTTCCTCGTTTCCGCATCTGTATCCAATTCGGCGCTCATAGATCTTTGATAAGCGGCTCTAAGTTCGTTCACGTGAGCGGAATGCTCGGAGTCCATTGCGTTCAACCTGTGCTCCAATTTTCTCGCCTTTTCGCGCAAACTGGCCGCTTCCTGCTCGTATTGAGAGGTCAACGATTGCCTCTGATTGTCCAATTCACCCTTGATGTCCATCAAATCCCTCTCCTGGTTACGCTTCAACGTCTCCAACTCTTGATTATGCTCCGCCGTTATCCTCTCGATAGTTTTCTGCAATTGGTCACACTGTTTGCAAGTCACGCTGTTCATATGGTCGCTCAATTTTTTTATCTGCTCGCGCAACTGCGAGCACTTCTCGCACACGCTCGACCAGTCGGTAATGGTAATCATCGTGGCCGATTTCGCCGGCCGTGAAACATTCTCGCCGCTCTCGTCCAATTTCTCTCGAACGCGTTTGCCCAACTCGACCAAATCCTCCTCGAGATATATCAAACTCTGGCCAACGTTCTTCATTTGCTCCTTGGAGGCGCGCTTCGAACCGGATATCCTGTCCTCGCACTCCTTGCTAAATTGCTGATAAAGGTAACTGTACTCCGCGTCGAGAATTGGATTGCTTTGGAACTCTTGATCGCCTGCCTCTAGCAGACTCGAAAGAACGTCGTCGTTTCGGATTAGACTAGATACGAAAGTCTCCCCAGGGAAGGGCGTGGTCGATTGTCTCGCGTTCCCCCGAAGAAGCTCGATTCTGGCGTCTATTAAAGCTTTGTGCGCGATCACGTCCGCGTAGTCCGTCAACAATTGTCTCGACTCGTATTTCGACTCGAGTATCGCCGACTTGTTCTTCTTCAACTGGTGAAGGCATTCTTCGTAAACGTTGGACAGCTCGCGAGTCGACTGTTCCATCTCTTCGCGCAGCCTGGATTGAGCCGTGTCGATCCAAGATTCTAACGTTACGTTCTCCGCGCTCTCGAAGTTGAGGCAAGCATCGGTGATGCTGGTGATATTTTGCTCGTACATCTGGCCGCAACGCATGATCACGTGAGACACTTCCGCCTGCACCAACTCCTTGCTCACCGTTTCTTGGGCGAGCGCCCATGCCTCGCGAATTCGTCGATCCTCCAGCAACTTTTTGCTCGAGTTGGTCGCCTGTTGCTTGCTCGAATCCTCTTGCTCCGACATGCTCAACGTCTCGGCGGCCAGTGCCTCCGCGAGCTGTCTCAACTTCGTCTCCTTGTATCTGCACACGATCTCGTTTATCTCGCGCTGCTTCTGCAGCAAGAAGTTCAAGCTCTCGTTACGAGCTGCGGACACCTCCTTGGACACCGTCTCCGTCGCGGCCACGCCACCTACTAGTACTAACTTATTAGCTAACACTCTAGTAAGATACTGAATGTAACTGGTGTTTTGGTACGTTTTGGGCTTAGTTCCGTGAATCTTACGCATTAAGCTTGAGGCAAGCTGACTAGTTTCGACCAATTCACTGAGAACGGCACTACGGTCGAATGTACGGCCGATCGCGCACTTGATCTGTCTCAGAACGACGAACTCGAACGCAACCCTCTCCGCGATCAGCTTCATCTTCTCCCTATCGTCCAGCTGGCCGTTCTGCTCGAGCGTCTGCCGTCTCTTCGTGAGTTCGCTCAATTTATCTTTAAGTATAGTCTCTAGTCTAGATACCACTACGCCTACTGACTCGGTCACTTGAGCGCTACCTTGGTTTTTCTTACATTCTAAACACGAGTCCAAAATATCGTTTACCTCGCGCAAACACTTCTCCGCTTTGTCCTCCGCTTGCGTCGAGCCTAAACACTTCTCCAGCCTCCTCTTCGACTTCGACACCACTCTCTCTAATTTCTTCAACCTCGCGATGATCTCCAACGACACCTCGCTTGTCGAGGGCGAGCTGACCTCGCTACATTCGCTGGAGTCTTTCTCTGCGTCGCTCGCCATATTCTCTTGCACGTTTGCCACCTTCGTCTCCAACGTGCTGAGCCTGATCAACACTTTCATCGGTTCTGAACTAGTTGCGCTGTCTAGCGATTTTCTTCTTAATCTGGTACGGTCCAGACTCTTGCTATCCCTCCTCTTCTCCTTCTTTGGATTAGGGCTCGACTCCTTCGGGCTGCTTCCCGCCGACGCAGGCGCGCTGATGCTCTTCCCGCGTTCTATAGCACAGATCTTGTTCTCCAGATCCACCAACTTGTCCTCCATCTCTTGAGAAATCTGGAAGGACTCACGACCCTTCAACGACAACGACCTCCTCTTGTCCCTGGTTTCAGCTTTTGTCAGCTTCTGCTTCAGATTCCTTACTTGCTTCTCGCTGGCTGCAAGCTTGTTGGTCAAATCTTGGATCCTAGCTGCCATTAATTGAATCTGAGCTTGATTCGTCTCGTTCACGCTAACTGCGTCCTGCTTGTGAGCAAAGATCTCCAATTCCAAAGCGTCCTGCATTGCGTGCGCCTCGCGAAGCTCCTTGCGCATCGCGCGTATCTCAAGGATAGCTTTCTCGAAACGGGATCTAAGTTCGTCGTATTCTTCCACGATTCTACATAAATAAAGGGCGTAAAAGATTTATCTCGTGATCTCGTTTATGAATATTTATAACAATTCAATATCAATCAATTCAATCAATGTAGAACAGATTAAACGTATTACCTTTCCTTGTCAAGAGAATTGAAATCCAGATCCAGCTCAATGTTCGTCAAATCACTGAGAGAATCGAAACTTCTTCCTCGTTCTTTCGAAGAAGACAACCCCCCTTTGTCTTCCAGTTCTCTAACTTTGCTATACAAACGTTCGTTCTCCTCTATTCCTAGATGAATAATATAATATAATTAGCAATTCTATCAATATTGCAACATTTTCATTCGATCAACGTACCTTGAGATAATCTATTGCTCAAAGAGGTTATCTCCGACTGCAGATGTTCGACGGTTCTATGACTCGATGCCAACTCTTTAGTAAGCATTTCACATCGCTCGCTGGTCTCTCTAAGAATAGCTTCGGTCTCCAGCAACTTGCATTCCAACATCTCCTTATCCCTGTTGTACATCTTCTTCATCTTCTCTAGATCCTCCAAGTCCTTGTTTCTCTGCTGCTCCGTTCTCTGGATCGTGTTCAATAATTCATCCACTTGTTTTTCTCTGATGGAAGCTTCAGCCTTTTGCTGCCTCAACCTGGACAGTTCCTTTTCAGCACTCGCGACGTCCGCTCTCGCCGTATTCAGCTGCGACTTTAAACTTTCTATTTCGTTCTCTTGACGCTCGATAATGACTAGTAATGTGCTTGGATGCGACTGATTTTGATCTAACTGATCGCGCAGCAAAGACACCTGGTTCTCCAACAACTCTACTATCAATGGGCTCTCGTTTGCGCTCGACAGACAACTATTCTGCATGTGCCCGTTGTGCTGTTCTTCATCCTCTCCTAATTCGCAGCAAGCCATCATCAAATCCTCGGACCTGACGCTGTCCAAAGTGCTTCTTCTTGAGCTTAGAGGAGAGCTGCAGCTTCTCTTGTAAACTCTGGATCTGGAGCTTGATCTGGATCGAGCTTTCACTCTGGACAAAGCGGTTCTAGTCAGCGGTGGCGACGGAGGTAATTCCGACCACTCGTGGTTCGCCGAATCTGACCAACTGGAACCCTTCAATCCACTGGGCCAGTCGCCGTTTCTCACTAAGGGTGGCGATACTGGGACCTCGGACCAATCACCAGACTCTCTTCTGCCGCCTTCGGATGCCGTTCGATATTCTTCATCGGAGGAAAATAGAACTGAGCGTGGTGTGACTGACGTTGAAGGAACAACCGAGGAGTCTCTTTCGCGATCCGTCAGCGATCTGAAATCAAAAACGAAGTTTTAATTTACGTTCCAACAGAAGAATGTTTGCACGAGGATTTCTTATTTTATAGAAGCATACATAGCCGCTTTTTCAACCAAGAAATGTGGAAAGGTACGAATGTTTGTACTCAGTAAATATATTCCTTCGATTTTTACCCCCGTGAACATGTTAAATAATTTCTTTACATTGCCCTACTTACGCGGTAGGTGATTGTGGGGTGTTATCTTGCTGCGCATCCTGACAAACCGTCAGAGAATCGCTGCCATTGTCAGGATCTGGTAAATTGGCAGCCCTCCGAATGGCCGACATCCAACTGGCTCGTATACCAGCGGTCACCGCGGACAATACTGTAGATCCTCGATCGTCCCAGGCCTTGGAACGCGGAACAACAAAAAAAGAAGATGAAAAGAGAGAGAGTAAAGTAAATCATCCAATAAGGAAAGGGGCAAAAACGACAGAACAGAGCAGAACGTTAATCATCGATGTGGGGCAAAGCAGCAGGATACAGAGTGGGTGACAGAGATCAGTGACACGAATAAACGAAGAGTTCCAAGATCTGTTCTAGCGTGAAATTGAGTTACCGACTTTTTCCAGCCACTCCCATCCCGGCCACGGAAGTTAATTCCGGCAATCCAATTGACCAACAAGCCCTCCGGGAGATTCACGGTTAACTACAAGGAAGGGCTGTACAATACCGATTAGTTTCTAGATATTAACACTATTTTTCAAAAGAGAAATGAATATAATAATTTTGTGCATCCTTTTACTAACATTATTTGTTACTTGAACTCAGAAATTCTTATTATTAAACTTAACAAAGAAGTTCTATTTTATAAATCTTTAAATTTTCATTAAATCTTTGATCAGAGGGAGATTCATGGTTAACTACAAGGAAGGACTGTACAATACCGATTAGTTTCTAGATATTAACACTATTTTTCAAAAGAGAAATGAATATAATAATTTTGTGCATCCTTTTACTAACATTATTTGTTACTTGAACTCAGAAATTCTTATTATTAAACTTAACAAAGAAATTCTATTTTATAAATCTTTAAATTTTCATTAAATCTTTGATCAGAGGGAGATTCATGGTTAACTACAAGGAAGGACTGTACAATACCGACTAGTTTCTAAATATTAACATTATTTTTCAAAAGAGAAATGAATATAATAATTTTGTGCAATCTTTTACTAACATTATTTGTCACTTGAACTCAGAAATTCTTATTATTAAACTCCAAAGAAGTTCTATTTTACAAATCTTTAAATTTTCATTAAATCTTTGATCAGAGGGAGATTCACGGTTAAGTACAAGGAAGGGCTGTACAATACCGATTAGTTTCTAGATATTAACACTATTTTTCAAAAGAGAAATGAATATAATAATTTTGTGCATCCTTTTACTAACATTATTTGTTACTTGAACTCAGAAATTCTTATTATTAAACTTAACAAAGAAGTTCTATTTTATAAATCTTTAAATTTTCATTAAATCTTTGGTCCAAGATATATCAAAAAACTTGAACAATTAAATTAATGGCGACTCTTCCTTAATTCTTACTGACGTTAATATTCTCTATCCAAAATGAATGTTCAAACACAAACCCAGCGGATAGACAATGTAAACCGATTTCCTTTGCATTGTAGTATCTGCCTGATACGAGCAAGGATAAAAAAAAGAAAAAAAAGAGAGGAAAAAAGGAAGAAAATTACGGCTCCCGTAAGAACTAACTGGATTTCCGTTCGTTGATTCGTTCATTCGTGCGGAATGTTAATTACCGTAAATCACCGCGTGCAAATCCACCGGTCACACTCACCACAGTCTGGAATCCATAATTTCTTGCGACTTGAAGGGGCGTGACGGCGGTAACGGTATTCAGATCTATGACACCGTCCATGATACCCTTATCTTCCGCGCAGGGATCTCGGTAGTACATGAGGCCGCAACCGCGAAGCACGAACCAATGCTTGTTCCATTCCTGAAGAATACACCATTCATCTTATCTATATACCTGTTATTATCGACTCTCGCTACTGTTCATTGTAAATTATTTCAACAAGAGAAACCATGCCATGCTCTCGAGCAAGATCGGTGACACGAATTTAACTTTTGGCATCATATTGAGCTCAAGGAGAAACGATGAAGATTTAATCGATATATTCTTCTTTCTATTGAAAACACTTAATAAAAATAGACGCTTTGATGACGAACCTTATTTAATCCTTGCTTCATTAACCAGCCTTTCTTTATGTTTAATAAATCTTCAGCAGGTAGATCGACCCTCAATTCAGAGGTAGGAGAGTATCTAATGCCGGAGATGTCAAGGCCACATCCATCCGGATCGCCTCTAATCTGTAGAAGAATAATCAACGAATTCTTACTACTTTTCGTGATAACTAAAGACAGCAATTAGGATTATACGATCGTTAATTTATATCTCTCAAAATTTCAATCGACTCACAAACTTATCCTGATAGGCAGCGTTGGCCGCATCCACCACATCCCTGGTCGGCTCAGACGTCCTAGGCTTGATCCTCCTGACGCGTGGCTGGGTCAAGGAGGCGGCAATGTCTCGCAACTTTCCTTCTCTTTCTCTTTCATGCTCCAACAGGATCCTTCGACAGGCGTCATCGTCTGCGAAACAAGCGTCAAATCGTTCACCCATCTCTCCATTCGATAGAGTCGTCTCGCGCATTACAACACGATAATGATAGACCAGCATCCTAATCACGATCAACGAGTGATGGCGAGCGTTTCTGGTTTCGTTCAACTGCTCCCTCAACGCAAAAACATTCGTCGCAAACACGGGCAATTAAATATTTTTCGGTTAAGGAAAAGAAGGTTTGAACGAAGGCAAGGCCTTCGGCTTGCTAATTGACCGCCGACTAATTAATAACTCGGCCTCGTTCCGTGCCGTGGCAAGAACTCTTATCTGTCTCGTTTATCCACCGTTCCTATCCACCCGGCGTCGAAATCTAACCTTCATTATTATGCTAATAACAGTTTTCAGCGAACTATCTCTCTTCGGAGTTGCGAGGCAGGGGAACGTGACGTTTCGGCAGGGTGGAAACGATGGGGTGAGTTTCGAGGAAGACTGGCTTTCGACGATCGATCACTTGTGTGGAATTAGTTATCCAAGAGATCGAAATATTATGCTTTTTTTTTTTTAAGAAAGGAAGAATTAAATCTTTTAAAAGTTCAAAATTTGAGAGAAATCACTCGCATCGAATCGATCTCTAAATTAAAAGTTTAAATTAAATTTCTGTAACTTCTAAATTGTTAAGAAAAGAGTTTACCTGTAAATCTGAATTTTTCTAGAAATAGAAAGAAATTTTAAACATTGGATTCGAAGATACTAGCAAAGAATACAATTAATTTTGATAAAAGATTATTTTTATTCGCGTTTAACGAATTCAACGAAGTAACTTGACTAAAAAATTACAAAATTTAAAAATTCGAAACTCGCAAGGTCTTGTTTACGAAACGATCGGATATCCTTAATAGATATTAGTGTGTATCTTTCAGACAATCTGCGGATCATTGGAAGAACTACTCGAGGGAACTCGAGGTTGCTGGACGTTCGAAGCCAATCTAAATGAAATCTACGGAGAGTAGAGATCATGGGGCACGAAGGAGAACCCGGTAGATTTTCTCGATGATTGTGCACACGTAATTACGCAACAAACGGGAAACGTAATCACACCAAGGCGAATCCTCTGGAATCGGAAGGTACAACTGTGCTAGTTAGACCCTTATAAATCTCGATACGCCGGATCCTCCTTCGTTCCACAGACGTGCTACTTAACTTTTTTTCCCCTTCCTGATCGCTGATTCACCGTTTAATACTGAATTTCCGTATTGACGTGTCAATCAAGCCTGTTCGAAATCATTATCCTCAGGAGGAGAGATAATATTGATCGATGTATTTGTGTTCTTGGGAAATAGGATTGCTTGTTTAAGAATTGGTGGCACACGTTTACAGCATTGTTAGATGTATACAACATTGACAAAATTTGTCATCTTTCAAACAATTTTTTTTATTTGCTATTATTTATTATTAATTTACACTTCGAGTTTAGAATTCTTGACTTATAGACACGATCCCCTGTTCTGATAATATTTTTAAAAAAATATAGTTTTATTTCTATATTCATCCATATATATTATAACCGATTGAATTAAATTTTTTCATTAGAATCAAAATTAAATTGTAAAGAAGAATTTATCTTCAACGTTTTAAGATCGCCAATTATTCCAACAATTCTTCGAATATTCTTAGTTTCAAGCATCCAAGACGCTTGTTTTTGTGCTCTGAACCTTCGATTCACCGTTACCCGATGAACATCTCGTATCCTAAACGACGAACTATCACCAAGACGCATCGAATCGAACGAAAGAAAGATAACGTCGGCCACGCGCGTTCTAAGATCGGAATTAGACTTTTTTTTTTCACGTTTGGATAACGAACCAACTGGAAAAAGCTAATTCGATAATGATGCGTGAACAAATTGCACGGATTAACGGTGTAAAACGAGCGCGCGCGCAGTTAACGCGCGACTTTTAAAAAAGGACGCGGCAACCGGTTCTCAATGGAATAGATGAAACGGTGAAAAATTCGCCATGTTTTTCTCGATTAAAACGTTCGATAGCGATATGCTTCTTATTAATCGTTGTCAAACAGTGAAAAGAATGGTCGAAGTGAATCGAATCGATTCGATTTACGATGTTTAGAAAATTTTCTTCGATAATCATTATTGCCCAGTTTTATCGATAAAAATTAAGTATTAAGAATGTTTGGAATGTTTTCTTATCTTAATAATGAACGAGGATGATGGATCACTCTCAATATCATCTTCATTTTATTTTGTCGACGTTAGTAAAGCGATCGAAATTCTTTCTATCGTAGACGAAATATAGTTTTTAATTAAATTTTTTAATATATAATTTAAAATCACCTTAAACGAAAAAATACGATTATGATCGATTTTCTCGTTAATTTATAGACGAAAAAAGAAATCACACATAAGAAAATGCCTCAAAATATCGTACAAAAATTATTAAAAAAAAAAAAAAAAAATATTCAAATGTCAATATCTTAAAGAAATCCTATAATATTGATTTACGATTCGCCTCACCAATAAAAAGAAAGTAATTATCTAACTTTATATCTTACATTCGGATATATAATTACAAGTAATTTGAACAGGAATTTATTTGACTCGAAGTAAAAACTATCGCGCTATCATTCTCGTTATATCGTTCATCGTTGATCGTTTTTTTCGCCGATTTCTCGTTACTTTCACTTTTACCTGAAACATCCAACGATCCCCTGTGATAATGCGAGAAACACATTCATCCTAATCTTTCTAAAACTTGTACCGAAGAAACAGCAACCGAGCGAAGAGAGAAATCGCAGCCACGTGAGCGCCGGGGGAGAGGGGGGAGGGGATCATATCGCGATTAAAGGCTCGTAGCTCACTGAAAACGACCGAGGTTTAACTTATCGCCGATTGGAAAGCACGTATGAGATACCGATGGTGGGAATGGCACATATAGAAAAAAAAAAAAAAAACCCTCCCCTCGCTCGTTTAATTGGAATCCCCTATCACGTTCGAGAGAGCCAGGCGCCTGTTCTCGAGTCCGTTGATTAATTTCTCCGCTAACAATTTCCGTGTCCGTGGAGACACTTTTTTATACGTATTGTGTGTACACTTTAAACCAATTTGTTTTGTCTCCGTTGTGATTAAAATTCCTTTTAAAATTTTTATTTCGGTAAAAAGGATTCGGTAAAAAGATCGTTCCAACAAACGAATAATTAATGATTATTTTTGCGTATAAATTAACTCGTAATATACTCGAGATATAAAGACTTTTTTTCTTGGAACGTCGTAATACTCGTTTTTCCAACAATTGTGTCTGTCATTCGTCTGCAGTTTGAGATAGATCAGTGAGAAGAGATGCGACAAAGACGAAGATAATAAACGATTAAAAGTTGCATTGATATTCCTCAGAGAAAACCGGAAATCGTATGAGGATAAATGAAAATGCGTTCTAAAGATTCCAATAATACGATTCTAATTAATCTTTCATTCGTCGATTAAAAATCATTACAGATGTAAATTTTTCTTAATTTTTAATATATCGATTTCAATATAGAAACTTCTCTTTTAAATTAACTCTCTCTTCGATTTTAAAATTAAATTTTTCTCGAATCTTCTTTATCTCGAGTTAAATCCATCAATTCTGTCATCACAGTGAGACCATTGTGCTTCCAGACAAAGCACTTGCATATATATATATATATATATACCATAAACTTTCGAACTCCTCCAACATCTCTTCTTCTCACTTGAGAAAACACAATAATGCTTGACGATACTCGATCCTCTCCGATTCCACGATATATAATCGGATAGATAAATGGTACCAGGGACGAATAAATTCGGTCGGATTTTCGCACGTTGCATGGACATGCGCTAACTGTTTTGTTTATACCGTCAATTGTCATGGCGGGAAAATGGGTCAGGTACGATTTAACGCGGACGCGCGAATCATCGTGGTGGAGAAGAATAGTCGCAGACGACCCAGTTTCCTCAGTCGATTCAATGAAACGTTGTATTGTTGGCTTAAAATCGAATCGCGTTAACAGATCTCCTTTGTGATCAGCGAGGGCAATAAAATTTCTCTCTAGATCCACGACCTAGTAACGTCGCGATTCAACTCGATGTAAATCCAATTCGAATGTAATTCAAAAAAAGAATAAAAAAGAAGAGAGAGAGAGAGAGAGAGAGAGAGAGAGAGAGAGAGAGAGAGAGAGAGAGAAGTCATGTTACGTAAATGATAGAAATTTTTTTGATCGATACAAAATGGTACTAAATTTTTTTTTAACCTTAGCAAACATCTTTAATGTTGTTAGAAACGTTATATAAATTTCTAACATTATTCGATTACAAATTGAATTAAATTGAGAGATTGAGTTTTTTAAATCTTCTCTTAAATCTTCATTTACTTTTATTATATCATTGTCGGTGGATAATTTTATAGCGAGATTGATTAACGATTTGGCTGCCTTTATTATAGAGGATTAAACGTTACAGCTTTTGCATAAGAGGGGCATGAATAAGACTGCGCAATCGGTAGCGGGATGAATAAAAGATGTCACAGTATCTTGTTAAATCGGCTTCGACGGGTAACGACTGTAAATGACGATCCAACCAGATGTTCCATGGTGTGACTCATCCTGTCGCGAGGTTAACTAACAGAAATTTAGATTTGCTGTTAATTTCGAATGAATAGCCAATTGAGAATGCTTCTGCATACATTCGAACGATTAATCACATTCCAAACCCCTTCTATACCTCCCATAAGTTCCCATTAACCTTGTATCGAAGGAAATTCCTGATCAATTTATTTCTAAAATTCCGCAAAAACGGTACCCTTCGCCGGATCATTGATTCCAATCATTGGTTCAGAGAAACAGGAATCGAAAAACAAACATGGAGAAAATAATAATCTAATATCTTAAATTCCATAAAAACGAAATATCTAATCGTTTTTCCAATGCTTGAAAAAAATTATTTAACAATAACGAAATTAAGTTTATATTTGACTCACTAGAATTTCTTTAAAAATTTTTGTTAAGTTTTCACAAGAATTGAAAATACTAAAGAAGATTATCCAATGTAATTCTCAAATTCTATAAAAATGAATCTTATTATTATAAACTCTTTAATTAATAAAATCATAAAACCATTAAATAGTATAGCAAAATTGTGAATTAAACTATCATTTAATTGATGTCAATTGCAACATGTCACACAACTAATGTCAATTGCAGCTGTGCATTGTATTTTCTTTTGAATTTCCCAAGTTTCAGATTAATCAGTTATAAATCAATTAAAACACTATTCCTGACATCTATTATATTATTGCTTTACTTATTTTACTCTCGTTATATGGTCTTTACTATGCCGGATCATCGCTACAAAATGGCATTGACGTCACCTCTCAAAGCTCCAATTTCCCAACATCCGACGTATTACTTAACACTCGACTAATTTCATGATCCCTACTGTACTAGATCATTTTTATAAAACAGCATCAACGTCATCTTTCAAAATTCCAACTCTAATACTATCCTATACATTGTTACTTTTCACTTTTATTTAATTTCAACAACGTGAAATTATGGCAATAACGTGATATCAACCTAACCTAACCTAACCTATAAACCTCGCTACATTATCATTACGAAATGGCAATGACGTAGCATCGGCCATCTGCAACCTAACCTAATCTAAACTTCATTGCATCTGCTACATTAAAATCATTGCTACAAAATGGCAATGACATTGCATCTATAACCAGACCTAACCTAATCATCTGCAACTTAATCTAAATCAGCATCTCGATCACGAAGTCAAGGTCGCCGATATATTCGAGTATACCGACCTAGTTTCTCGCCAGAGCAGGCGGTCCCGGTTCGTTCTCCGTGCTGATTCATCCTGCGTCTGGCCTTGTCTTCCGCTCGAAGCTTGTCTCTGGTCGGTGGGGAGGCGCTGCTAGCTGGTTGATCCTTGTAGCTCGATCTACCCTCGTTGGGCACGATCGGTGGCTTCTCCGTCAACGAGTTGACGGACGACACGGTGGTCGAGGTCGACGTGGTCGTGTACACGGTGCTGGACACGGTGCTCCCGTTCATGATGGATGTGGATGGAACGGAAGTTATGTAGGTGGAGCCACCGTTCTCAAGAGGCGTGCTGGTTCTAAGGGGTGACACGTTGGCGGTGACACGATGGTCGTTGCTGTTCTCCACCACGTTACCGTTGCTCATCGACGTGTTGCTGGTCGTCGTTACCACGCTGTTGGTCACCAGAGATGGCGTGGAGGAGAAGACTGATGCGCAAAGGTCTGCGGGGACGCTCGTTTCCGACGAGATCCACGTGTTGCTGCGGGGCTCTGAACGACAGCTGTTGAACCGTGGTCGAGGTGGATTCGGCGTGTTACCTGTAAGGGTGTAATTGTGATTAGAACTGGTCATAGAGAACTGATATATGTCGTAGATTTTTTATTTATTATCTATATAAAAGATATATTGATAAGTTAGGTAAAGAATTGATTGAATATTAAGCTTTACTTTTTATAAAATCATCATTGAAAGAGGAAAATCTATATTTAATTCACTTTCAAGTGATATTTATAAGACTTGTTCAATATCACGATGGATGATATATTAATCACTTCGTATCGAGAGTATGTCACAAGTGCAATTCTTACAAACGTCATTAATAAAAAAAAGTTATTAGCTACACTCACTTCTGATCGTAGGAGTGACCTGAAGAATGGTGGTCTGTCCACCGGGGAACGTCGCATTCCTCTTATGCCGGCCCTGGAAAACAAATACCAACATCAATTAAATTCCTTCTATCATTCTTCCATTAATCAATTACAAATTCACATTGATATACATCCACCCATAAAAGTATCTTCTCGCCTGTGTTCCAATTAATTTCTTCTCTAAATTCAGATCAATAATAAGTCAGAATCATTTTCACATTTTAGCCTCTCTCTCAACTTTTAAAGAAGAAGCCATCAAGATTACCATTGATAATGACATAATATTGATATTATATTCATTCTAAATATCAATAATTACGGGGAAAAAACCGTCTCTCTGCGAAGCAACGGATGTAATCACGACTGGTTTCTTCCAACAATGAAATCTCATTTTCAGCGAATGGAGGGCACGGTTGGCATCGATTAAAAATCACGGTTGTTATCTCCTCGCGCGGACGTCGCGACTCCATGGTGGAATGCCGTAGAATTTGTACGTGGGCGACGGTACGAGGGCAGGCGTGTGCACGACCAGGTCGCGGTAGGCGGCCGCAATAACGGCAGATAACAGCGAGGTTGATAATATTCCGCGAGGCTACGCTCTTCCCCGGCGTGCATAATTCATAAGACCGCTGCCCGTGTACCGGCCCGTGCAGGACAAATGTGAACACGGGACGATTCAATCGATTCTACCAAACCAAACGTGATCTTCTTAACTCCCCTTATTCTCTCTAACCAGAATTTTCAACATTAATACAAATTGAATTTGTTACGTCCTACATACGGTGTTGAGAAAATCTTGATCTACAAGAAACGCCCGTGAGATGCTTTTCCGTATTCTATCTATAGATTGCGCGTTGGATTAATTCCAAGGATGAAAAATAACGAATTTTTCTCTAGAAGAAGGCAATTTGTATAGGATAATTGCAAGGAAGAGGTTTTTGGTTCTAAGTGAAATAAGATAATCGGAACGTAGCAATGATTCTGACAGTAATAATTCCAGTTTGACGTCCATTAATAATCTTGACAAACTCTAAGATGATTGAAATTATCGCAAAAGAAAAAAAGAACCGATGCTTTTTCAATCTTCGATGCTTTTTCAATCTTGGATGCTTTTCACAATCCCCGATGATCGACTCGCGATTTCGAAACGCGAACGCTGGAAGAAGAAGTGACGAAGAAACGATCAAAGAAACCACCTCTTCCATCGCTTATCCCCTCCTCACAAATCTTCGTATCGTTTTGCAATTAACTTGGTAAACGCGAACAGGTGCTCGAGAGATCCGCTCGAGATCTCGAAACAGAAACATTTTACGTACAGCGAGACTCGATTTTACAACCGAGAAAAGGAAATAAAAGGGGAGGCACGTTTCCTACGCGCGTTCACCGGTTTGTTCGATTCGTGTTGGCGTACGTATGCACGCGTCGCCTTGGCCTCTTAACGTAATCGTACGTTTACACCGAGCGGCAGGTTCGCGCAATGGCGACGAGCCGTTTCCATTTGCCGATCGATCATTCCTTGCGTAACGGATTCGACGCGAGGAACGATCGAACAATGAGCAGAAAATCGAGGGACGGTCGATCGTTCGCGATGATTAAATTCGACCGAAAAGAATTCGATTTCGAAAAAGGACGATTTTAAAAGAGTTCGTAAAAATTCGAAATGCGAAATTTTAGAGATCGAAGATTTAGAGATTCGAGTCGCAATAATGACGTCGATCGAAAACCGATTGTTTCGAGTTTGAGAAGATGATTTGTAAAAATTTGAAATTTTCGATGGTTTGTGATGATGTGAGCTTGATTAGGGATCTAATAACGTATCAAAGGGAGGATCGATCAATCATAACGAGGATGATGATTGGGATTGAGAGAATTCGAGGTTAGGAATTTGAAATGTGAATGCGGGTTTTCTTTTTTATTTTTGACGATGAATACGAGTTAGTTTAAGGATAATAATAATATGTTAAGGAGTTTCAGAAATGATCGATCGATCTTAACGTTTAATGATATTAAAAGCATCTTTCGATGAGATCGTAAAAATTTGAACTGTAAAGTATTTTGCTTTCGATGATGATAGTTGATTACTTTTTCATAAGTAATTTCATGCTCGTAATTGATGTTCATAATTCCTCAAGATCCACTTTACACGCGGACTTTGAATCGTGATCAATCACGATCGATCGACGTCAAATATAACAACTTCTAAATGAATATGAATAAAAAATGGAAAGATTTCACGTTTAAAATTTACACGTTTCTATTCAAATTAATTTTATATTCATTTCACAATTCTATTACATTCGTTCCACGAATCAATCGCACTTTACACACACATTTCTCGAATAATGATCGGATTTAAAGACTGAAAGAAGGAATACAATTCGTAATAGAATCATATCACGATCTCTCGCGATCATCCTTAAAATTTTTCCTTCTCCTCAAATTTAATTTAAATTTACTAATCATAAACTTAAATATTTTTCGAGATTCGAACGTATACATAATCAGAAGATCGCAACAATAATTCGTATATCTGACTTTTATCCGGACGAAGAGAAGCGTCTTCCATCGATCATTCGTTGCACAACGTCTTGTTGTCGAGAATCTAAGTAACGCGGCGAAATGACGACAGCCAACACGATTCTCGAGCCGGGTGCGTTGATCTATCGGTTTGATATCGCGTAGATTAAAACGCGTAGATCACGCGTTAAGATAAAAATCGACGAGGCTGCTCTTTTATTGTCTCTATCCAGTTGTTGATTCAATGGTGAGCAATCTTTTCGAATATTCATATCCACGAAGGACAACTTCGTTTAAAATATGGAATGGAATGATGCGAGAAAAGATGGAGATAAAAGAATTCTGTACAGTTTGTTGTCCCAGTTTAAATTTATGGTGTATTCATTGTAAGAGGTATATTGCGTTAGACGCGACTATGAAGCGACTGATTTCGCGAGAATAAAAAGCGAAGAGAGAAATGAATGATAGATAAACTGATCGATCAAACTTTTCTATTCTATTTACTAACGTAGAAGAAGAGGCAATAAATTTTTTTTAACAAATAAATCCGATAAAATTCTATTTACTACTTTTTTTCTCTGCACAAAAATTAAAGAATATTTCATTTCACATCCATTTGTTTTAAAAGCAATTGAACACCATCATCCCAACAAACGAATTCTAATCCCGTAACACATTTCGAGTCGATTAAACGCAGAAACATCGAAATAACGTTTAAAGTTACAAAAATTACTTAAACATCATCCCTTAACTTTTCAAATCGCTCGATATCACCTCGTATCTCATCGGCGGTGTTCAAAGCATTCACTGCTCGTCGAATCACGCTCAATTAAAATTAATTGATTCCCTTCCCACGACCAACCCCTAATCTTCCATCCGCGAAGTGAATACCTGTCAACAGAACCTCTTTCAGAACCCGTTTTTCAGAATTGTTCCCCTCGAATCGAATTGAACCGTCCCTCCTCCCGTTCACGGATTAACAAACAAACGCGATCATCCGCGCCATTGTCGCCCCGTTTCCATCCGAGCGTAATCTGTTCTACCCTTCCTCCCTCCCTTCCCTTCTCCCCCTGAAAAGCAGGTAAACCGATAAGAAACCGGAGGAGGAAGGTTGTCGAGGCGAGCGAGGAACGATCGAGTGAATCGCAGAAAAGCGGGAATCGGCGCGCGGCTACGATGCAGTTTTGCCTGGTTGGCATTATTTCGCGCTGTAACGAGCGTGACGCCGCGACAGGCCGCGCTAATGATCGAGCATTATCGCACTTTTGTCGAGGCATCGTTTCTTTTTCCTATCTCTATTTCCCCCTTCCCTCGTATCTTTTGCACTCGCGTCGCGCATCGAGGACGAGGATTAAATCGTGTAGCGAGCCCTGTCCACGATTCAACTGCGATAACCGAGAATTAGGTGTTCATAGAGCATTACGTATTCGAGATAGAGGTAGGTTGTTTCGCGGTAGGAATTCTCGCGGCAGAGAATTGAGAAGATCGTGGCCGGGTGTTTCGTTGAAAGGGGGAGGAAAAGGGAGAGGAGTGAGGATTGTGAGGGACAATTTTATCTCGTGGGGGCGGGAAAGAAATTATTTCGATCAATGATTAATTATATACGTTTACATCACGATCATCGTTGTGATAAATTTGTAACATTTGATAGGTGGTTATATATAAGAGTTTTATATATATATATATATAAGAGTGATGTCGTTTGAAATGGTTTCTGATATCTGATAGGGAGAATTAATTCCGATCCTATTACACGAACAACTTAGTTACATGCATCTGCTTATCCCCCGACAGGATCGTATAAATGGAGTTCTACTATACTCGTCTCGTGAGAATTTTCATGGTTGTACAGTGATACGATCACGTGTTTTCTTAGGGAAGAAAGAAAGAGACATTCTTTTATTTATTCATTTTTATTTTTTTTTTTTTTGTATTTGGCGCGAAAAAAAGGATAGCGGTGAAATTGTATCTGCTGTCGGTACGGCAGGTTGATTGGAAGGTACATAGTAATAAATTCTAGTGGATAATTGGAGTATTCGAGTTCTATCAGATGATTTTATAGATAAGAATTTGTAATGGTAGGAATAAACATGGAGTTAAGATATAGTAGGATGAAGGTAGGAAAAGTATCGTTGTACAGGTACTGGTACTGGAATGGGTCTGCAATTAGACGGCTAGTTATCCAGGGAATATCTGACAATTCACCGTGTGATTCAGTTTTCAGCAAAGAAGAGCATCCATTTAAATCGATGATAAGATTTGAATATTCGATTATTCGAGAGGAATGAAACAACCTGAATTTAGTGACAACGCATTAATTTGTAAAGCAGTTTGCGATGAGAAAAAGCTCGACGATTAACCCTTCGACAAGACCAAATCGTTTTACTTTTAAATTGCCAATTTATACGATGTAAGCAAAGACCATAAATCTACGTAAGTTTAAACTGCAAACAATGCTGCAAACAGTTGTCGAAAACATAAATTTAAATGAGGATTTACTGAATTCTTTATTTAATATTCGAAATATAACGAAATATAACGAAATATAAAAAACGATTTAAAAAATACGAATACGTTTCTTTACCGTATGATATATCCAAGATAAATTACGTATCATTAAAATTATTTTTTAAAAAATAACGACATTTCACGCACCAATAATATCCATAATAATAAATTTCAATTGAATGGTAAAAAAAAAAAAAAAGTTGACTCGCTCTCGTCAATGAAACTCTCGCCAATAAAAAAAAGATTTCCAATGGATTAAAACTGATTTTATCAAAGATTTATTCGACCTCGAAGGATTCGAACGTTAATTTTCATCGAGAAAATGAAAAAAAAAAAAAATGAAATAGTGGAATTCGCGTAGGCAGAAGGTTGGAAAATCCGAGGGCGGCCGCGTAGTCGCGATTCATTTCCCGCGAGAATAGCTATTTCCGCTGGTGAGACAAGTCGACGCGACTGGTATTACTGTAACAACCGTGACAGCACAAGGATACAGTAATGATTATGCGAATATCGTAATCAACGAATGACAGGGATCCCTTCGTCACCTTCTTTCTTCGAATTGGATCAATCAGAATCCTATAAATTCGCATCCTCTTTTTTGCGATTCGAAGGAATCGAGATTTAATTCCAAATACTTTCGTAAACAGAATCGCTTGACAAAGATATAATCCTTGTTTGTGCTTTCAACGTTAACATTTCGATCGGTGTATGCATAATTGGAACGTATCTGGAAGGAGAATCTTCTTTGATTGATTCTAATTGTACCTTGACACCGACGATTAAAGTATTTCTTTCCCATAATTGATACTATTAGCGGAATTAATTTAAGTTGACAACGGTAATAAATTCTCTTTTGCATGAAAGAGAGAGTGATAAATTTTAATGGGAGTGATGAAACGAGATTTTGTAATTAAATTTTAAATCTGATTATTAGTTAAATTCGACTAATTAATGATACTAATAAAATTTTTTATAAATAAATTTAAAATATCTTGAATCATCCTGTTCATCCTGATTGAAAAATTATTATACAAGATTAATACAAATAATCTGTTAATTTCAAAGCTTTCGCTACGAGAAGAAAATGAAAAAAAGAAAGAAAGAAATGCTAAATTTTTCTAATTAATTTCGAATTTAATGTACAGACCTTGTTCCTCGAGTAGACCTGAAGCACATCGGCCCACCATCTGGTTTCCTCGCGGCACGTGCCCTTCACGAAGGTAACTCCTTCCGGCGAGGTGATCGCCAGGCTGTACGGATGTCCGGTGATATCCTCGGCAGCAGCAACTTCCAACACACGGGTCATATCGATCCTCGCTTGAGGAACTGTCTCCGGCTGCAACAAAAATATCGCACGTTTCGTTGGTAACGATTGAACGACTTTTCTTTCTATTATAATTTCTATATTTTAACTAGCAATTTAATCGAATATTGATTAAATAGCGGGATAATAGTCGATGTATAATTCAACGAAATATATTGGTTCGACGACGATCGATGCGAAACGAATTATATTCAAGAACTTACTCGAGGAAGACCTAGAAACACAGAAACGCCAACCGAGCCAATTGAGTTGCAATTTAACTCTTTATGCGGAACGACTTCGTTCTCGATCGATATGAAGCAATTAAAACGTCCTCGTTGATCGGTCATTGATCGTACGTAAATTCAAATGTGGCGATATATCGGAGGAGATGTCATTGGATGTCTCAATTAGAGTTTCAATGGACGACTTCAATAGTCTTAAATAATAAATTGCTCCAATTCGCTCGCTATTCAGAGCCATGTGTTCAAAGGTTAGGTAGGCACGTTTAAAGGGATACCTTTGACTTAATTAATTTAATCAGAGTTCACTTTCACCTTTAGATTAATTTACAATTAATATAATTTAGATGATGATAATAAAATCTGATAACACGAAACGATATAAATTTTACGATCATTGCTTCAATAATCTCAAAAAATACAATTGCAAAAATAACTGTTACGTTAACGGTGCCAAGTTATCCGGCACGAAAATGGCGGTGGCGGAAGTTAAATTAGACGCAACACAACGCGATTGAAGACGTTTTAAAGGGACGAAAGATGATCGAAGAATGTATCGAAACGGCAAATATTATAACCGCAAAGCAACAAAGCGGGTAAATATTATAATAAGCCGCATCCTCCAACCCGGTCGACCGGTTTTCCCCTTACACGCAAAACATCGAATCAAACAACGATCTCCTCTTTTTAATCGATCTGGCAAACTACCAGGAAACATTCAACCGGCTAAACATCCAACCGTTTTTACCGTTCGTTTTCGACGGGTCTCTCGGAGAGCCCCGCTATAACCGTGTCGAACGATCGAGAAGGACAGATATCCGCGCAACAGAGAGCCGAGGTTTCACCGTAATTTCACGTTTATTTGTTCACCGTGGCGTATTCGCGTCCCGCCACGCGTTTTATTGCAAACGGGATAATTTAGCGCGTCGTATATACCGAGGACAGTAAAAACCGCGTGACCGCGGTGGAAACGAATAAAACCATCCTAGTTGCAACTTTGTCGCTTCGACATTTCGAAGACCGCGCAGACCGGAAATCGCCGGTTTCTCTCTCAGCTGTTCCGCCGAAATCGTAAAACGCGCCACTACCAGGGGAATAACCCAGCAATTTTCGCCTCGTAAAATACGAAACCGAGTCGATTTCTGCGTGGAGACAGCGGAAAGGATAATTGGTGATAGGAGGGAACATTTTGATTGTTCTTCTAGGGAAAGAGGGAAGCGATCTAGCTAGAAGTGAAAATGCTGTAATTTCATCGATCGGTTAATTTTTACGATCGAAATTCGATTGTTCATAGGGAAAGAGAGAAGGAGAAGTGTTGTTAGAAATGAGAATTCGTTTCGTTTGATTTTCGTGATTATATTCGAAGATTTTGATTCGTGAGGGAATCGTGAAAATGTTTGAGTGGGAGAGTATAATTAAAAATTCTTGCAGTTGATGGAGGAAAAAATAAAATTCATGTTTTATATAAATTTATTTGATATTTTAATAATATTATTAAAATTTACGAAAGAGAAATCTTCGATTTCTAACAGTTTTTCTTTTTCTTTCGGTTTATAGCTATATCTGCTGATAATATATTTAACTTGAATTTTTCCTACCTTCGATTTTTTTTTTTATTATAAATTGCTATTTAAGATTATTTATAATTCAGGAAAAATTTATAATTGTGGTGGAAATTTGGATTTTTCAACTCGATCAACGGGTTATTACAGGTTGTAAAGAAATTTTTCTTTATTGGATATCTTGTTCGGTTGATACGACTGATTGGTAGCCAAGGATGTGTGATTGGTCTCATTAATTGCGTTATTTAGGTTATCGAGCGATTCGATGTTCTTTCCAATGTTACGATCGAACTGGATGTTGTTTCTGATAAGCATGGGACTAATTATACATCTGGAAACTCGAACACGCGGGAATAATTTTTTTTCTCGAATGAAACTTTTATTATCCTCCTGCATACTTAATAACTCCTCGAATGCCACGATCCGATCGAATACGATATCGAAATCACAAATTTGTAATACTTTCCCTCGAAATATACATATCAAAAATTCTCTAAATCCCATTATTCCTTTGAAAAAAAAATACAAAAAAAATAACAGGGAGTTCGAAAGAAAATTTCTCTTCGATTATTCTTTAAAGTGCCTACTTTCCTCCCAAACAACCAAAACTCCCGTACATCGATCAGAATTCACAGCGATGATGTAACCACTCCGTCGATCGAACTTGGATTCCCCCCTCGATCCCTCGAACCCTTTTCAACTTTCCTTCACTGGCGTGACGGCCAGTTTTTTTAAACGTTGGGCCCGTACCACGTGAAACCGGCCACGTCAATCGAACGTTCGAAACGATAATCACCGTGCGAGATGATACTTGGTCGCAGTCACGAACCCGGGTTTCAACGTTTCAAAAGGCGGGCATTTTCACCGTCCCGCTGCTCCTTTTTCCTACCCGGTTTCCTCTCTGCCGATTATACACGGATCGCGGCCGGCCTCTGCAGATTTCACGACGCTCTTTTCACGGATCTTTCTTACTCGACTTTCTAAGACCAATAAGGAAGCTCCGATTCTTTTTTCTTCTTCTTCTTCTTCTTCGTCTTCCTCTTCTTTTTCTCCGCTCGCTCGTGGATAGAAACCGGTAGCTACTGTGTCGAGTAATCGATTGGAAACATCGACGGTGGTGCCACGTTTTTCCAAACTGGTACGTGCCATTATATCGCACTTTCGATAATTCTCCTTTTTTTTTTTTTGTTTTTTCGTTTTTTTTTTTTAGCGTGGAGTTAAGGTTTCTATAATCTATTCGACAGGAAAGGGTCGAGAAGAGAATTTGCTCGGAATGGACGATTGTCGAGGATACGATTCATCGATCATTTTGCACTTCAAAGGGGATAATCCGTAATTGGAAGAGGGATTATCTATCGATTATCTCTTGATGATCTTCGTTCTTGTCGATACAGCATCCTTTGTACAACAACAGGTTGACGACGAATTGAAATATACGACAAGATGTATTAAATAATTCAATCTATTAATTGGCCTCTTGTTTTATTGAAATTATAAAGAAAAAAAAAATTTAAACGCGATACGATTATATTAACTCGATTAATTCGAAGAGAAGATAAAATTTTCGTGAAAGTTACAGTTAAGCTTCTCACGAGATTCGTTTCGCCATTACTTCACGTTCCCAATACCTACATTGATGTATCATCGATGTCGGCGATGGCACAAAGTTGCAACACCGATCAAAATTACACCTTTCTCGAGGCTTAAACGAGGCTTCTTTTTTTTTTTTTTAATCCGAGTACACGTATTTCGAAAGGCAATGTATTAATCACCCGCATTCTTTTTCAAGCAAATTGAGCAACGATGTTGCTCTCCAAAAAGCGGATCGCGATCACCTTTTCCGTGTCCATGCGTCTTTCAACTCGCGTGCACGCGAAAATAATTAACACGTTTTTACGAACGCAGGTATACGTTGCCATTGAAATATGTGACGCGAGCATGAAGAGAAAAAAGAGAGTAGATTTTAAAAGTAGATTTTAATCGAGCCGTGATTATCGTCATTTCGAACATTCTCTCGTTAATTCCTCCTCCGTTATGTTTCAACATTCTTCGTGTTCAACATTCAACAAAATCTCTAAAAGATGATTGATAAAATTACGATTATTGGTAAAGTTATTCAATACACGTGTTAATAAGAAAAGAAAATCAACGCATTTAGAAAATCATTCGAGAGAAGTGAATTAAACTGTGAATCTATAAATAAATAAATACTACAAAGAATGCACGTGATATGGTAAAAGGTGCGCAAATATGAATTATTCATTATAATTTTTAAAAGATCTCCGTTTATAAATCTCGTCTCCGTAATTACATTAAAATTTGCACAAAGCATCGGACGTTGTTGAAAATTGCCTAAGAAAGAATATTTCGAAAATTTTGCTGCTCGATCGAAAAGATAAACATTTTATCAAGATACACGGATAAAAATTTATAATTTCCTATAATTCAATGATCGGCTCGCACGGAATAATTCCTTTCGAAAACGAATAATAGCCACGGAAAGCCTCGTTAACTCGTTTCTTACTGTCGTAGCGAGCAACCGAAAAGCACGCAACAATCGCATAAAAAACGCGATTGGAAGAAGGAAAATAAAAGAAATCTGTGGGCCAGACGTAAGATCGGTGGGGACGACGATGTCCGTTTTAAGGCCGGAGAAACATCGCGAGGGTTACGCCTTAAATTATCCCGGCCCCTCGTTTATTCGCCGCCAACGAGGCGACTCGGCCCCTAAGGGAAGGGAAATTTGTTAAACGTAGATATTTTTCGCGTTGCAAAGCGGTTCATTAGCCTGCCCTCGCGATAAAAGAGGCTGCTAACGGTAAAGGTTCGTCAACAACCTCTTATACCGCTTAATCAACCGGCGCGCGAAGAACGAGAGGTGTCGCGGCCGAGATGGAGAAAAATCGTGTTCCAGAATCGACTCAACCTCCGCGATTCCACAAAATATTCCTTTATCCTTAATTCATTCAAACTGCGGATATATTTAAAAAAAAAAAAAAACAGATACTGCAACGATACTACATCTTACCAAGAAACAAATTAACCTTAATTTGCATCTAAACTACGATGATGTTCAATTTTTTAAAAGGAGCATACGGTAGAAATAATTTTTAAACGTATCCTCGAAGATCGTAATCGAAAGAATAAATTCATCGATAATAAATTTTGATCGAAACCACATCTCTCTCTCTCTCTCTCTCTTCCTCTCTCCAATCGAACTTCAAAAACT